GTTGCTGCGCCAGATTCACGATTCCAGTTTTCGTCTCGAATGAATTTTATTGTACACGATTCTTTTGTATTTAACCAAGAGAAGATCAGATGGCGTTTTAATTTTGGTTCACGCTCGTTACGCTCCTTCTCTCGAATCTGGAAAATAAATTTTAAATTAGCGAAGCTTAATTGTAATATTAAATTCAATTATTAGATGTTAATTTGGATGTTAAGGAGAAATTGGCGATCTTCAGGAAATTCGTAAATTTCCTGTTTAATTTTTTCGCGTGAAAAATAAAACATTTCTGACGATGAAATTTTAATTCCTATAGAATTATACGCTATTCCACTTTTTCCTCGAGCACACGAAACGGGAACGAAAGAATTTTTGGAATTTTAATCCCTATAATACCGTTCTCTCGTTTAAACGTCGAGTTTATAGAATACGTTACAACACAAATAATAATATTCCATATACACGGAAATGTAACAACGAAACGCCCTTCTTGTCGAGGATAAAAACCGTAAATTCGCGCAAAGGGAATCGAGAGAGAGAAAAAAGAAAAATGAATGCGTTCCAAGAATTTATTCCGTTTTCTTTGTGCGTTAGTTGTCTTGTTAGCGGTGTTAGTGATGAAGTTCTTGCTTCGTAGCTCGAATACCCGCTGCCATAACGAGTAACGATTTATGCGTTAATATATCGTGCGCGCCGTTGTTACAGGCGGAACCCCTTTTCGAAACCGATCCGGACACGGACGAGTAACACCCGTGAAACTTTGCGCGAGTCGAGAAATTCGTGACCCGTTCGCGTATAAAACGAACGGCGACGAAAAATAACTCCTCCACTCGATCGAAACGAAACTTTAAACCACCCCCGCCGGTTGGTCGCAAACACCGTTGATAAAATCAACCTGTTAAACGATCATCCCCCTCTCCCCATTTCGATCGAATCAATTGGACAGTTGGACAAGTTGCCGGTGAAATTGATTCTGTTATCGAGTTCGAACAGCTGACCGATGCGTTTTGCAATTCGAGGATTGCGATCGAGGGAACGAGGGGATAAGTCGTCCAAGTTGTTATCTAGATATGCATCTGTCTTCTGTCGCTCGCTGCTGTGACGAGCTTTCGAGAGTCTGAACGCGATTAGTCAAATGTTTGAACAGTGGTTGCGTTATCGTTGCCGTTCGAACGAGTTTCTATTTCAATTGGGAAATTGGGAATGCGCGATGCTTTTCGAGTGGGCAATTTTATTGGGGATAAAATATTTCGAGAGGTTTTTGGTTTTTTTTGAAACACGGTGCTTGGCGAGAATAAATGAACGGGATATTACGATGAGAAAAAAAAAGAAAAATTCTCATTTCTTCAGAGTTTCAATTTTTGGAAGACGATACTCTATTTCTCGTTACAGAACGAGAGAGAGAGAGAGAGAGAGAAGAATTTAATATCGAAACGAAGGAATTTTTTTAGAAATCTCTAGAAACTATTCGTTTTTTCTGGGATGGGAATATTCTCTTCTGTTCGAACGAAACATTCTTTTTATTCTTAATTTCTTTTCAAGATCATTACTTGATATCGAAGTAGAAATGTTCAAAAGTTATTTCGAATTAATAATTTGGCCAGATTGATCAATTTGTTAATCTTTGACCACGAGGAGGTGATATCAGCTGCTTGACAACTCGTAAATACGTAATGAAGTGTGGAAAGCTTGCACGCCCGGAACCGTGGCCGCCTCCATTTGTCACTGTGCACCGAATTTATAATCCCACATGTTCATCGGGTATACTTTGCGTGATTCATCGTCTCATGCGCGGGGCCGTGACGTGTGAGTAATCTCTTGGAACGAATATGACGAAATTATCGCATCGCCAGCCGCTTCTCGTGGGACCGTGGAAACATCGATATCGATAAAGCGTGAGATGAACTTTGATGCACAATTGCGATCTTATTAATAGAATATAATGGAAGAATTGAGTCGAGTCGAAACAATGGTATCGAATTATAAAGAAAAGGAAATAATTTTTCGAACATCGAGCTTAGTTTCAAGATCGCGGAGTAGATGGCGCCAAAAGTATGCTCGATCCTCCCCGAAACCCATCCCTCGAACGAAAGAAACGTCGATTTTACTTTCTCGTTTCGATCATTTTTTCCCCCTAAATTTCAAGTTTGGAATACAAATCGAAAGAAATATTATCGCAAAATTCAAACCGTTGAATTTGGAGATTTTCTTTCTTTTAAAGGAAGAAATTTTAAAGGAATTTTGGATTGAATAATTTTATTTCGTAATTGCACGATACAATACGTATGTTTACGCGTAATGTTCGATGTCACGAATCTAGAGTTTTGATTCGAGAAGTCAGACGAGTTTTTCCGACAGTGTGCTCAATTCATTCGCATCGCAGGTTGAGTATCGATACATGTTTACATTCGTTAGGAAATTAGAACGCGTTAAAGTTTCTGAATCGCAGGAGAGAGGAGAGAAAATCTAGAGCTAGGTGTTAATGCTTCCAGATCGTTTCGGTCGAAACAGACACCGTTAATATCTTTTACCAGCTACACTGACAGAGTATTTTAAGCATTTATCGCTTACGAAGCTTGTGCAGGCAAAGTATTAACACCGAAACGTTATTATACTCCTTCTTAATTAGACAGGGCCATGGAATCTGTTCTTCTTCTTATTACTTTGCTCCCCGCCCTTATTCTCTCACCTTTCCACTCCGATTCCCATTCCACCTAATATTTGTTTATTATATTTTCCACGGCGTACCACCGGCAAAGTGTTAAAAATATTTCTTTAATCCATGATCGAATTAACAAAGATCACATCCTCTCGCGAAATATGAGGAGATAAAGAAAATTTGTTGGAATATTTATTCCAAAATAAGTATAATAAACTGTCGATTCAAACTCTTTCGATCAAATTGGAACATCTCGATCGAAATCTCGATCCCGATGCAGGTAGAACAACGTTTCTTTCTTGCGATATTGTCCAAAGATCTTCCGAGAAAGACCAACCTACTCCTCCTTCCCCTATTCCGGAAGTGGAAGACACGCGCGTACAAATTAGCGGTGGGGCAATAGACAACAACAAATCACAGGGGGTTGTCCGGTCGGATGCGAAAGAACACGACAGCGTTCGTAGCCTATTAAGCAACGACAACTCCTGTGAAGCGATTTCGAAGCTGGAAAGAAGCCTGAAAGTGGGGGAGGGAACCCTTGGTGGATGGAAAGAAAGAGAGAGAGAGAGAGAGAGGAGGAGGT